TGTTAATTATGTATATATTTATATGTTGTATAGTCTAGGGGTCCTTATGTAATTATTTCAAACCCTGTATTATTTATACTGATGTTTTCAATGCAAACCCTAAGGGGGATAATTTCCACACTCAAACAGATACATTTCTGGACAAACCGTTCGATGAAAAATCAAGGTGAGTGAGACTCAACAAGTTTCTAAATTCAAGATGAAAGGGGCCACTGATGTTTTTCATACTAGGTTTAATGTTTTAGCTTTTGCAGACTATAAATTTCCCGTGGAATTGGTCCTCTTAGTTGATTTATGCTCAAGTCTAGGAATTTGAGATTGATCATGGAACCAAAAGATGGAGGGATTGGACTGGTTAACCTATTTTTGCTGAGAGCCAGAAATTCTAAATTTTTGAGACTCCCCAACTGAGATGGCAGGGTACCACTGAAACTATTACCAGAAAAGTTGAGGCGTACTAATCTGGTGAGATTGACTTTGGAACCAAAGGATGTCAGGATTGGACCGGTCAACTGATTTTGGCTAAGATCCAGAAACTCCAAGTTCCAAAAACTCCACAACTGAGATGGGAGAGTACCACTGAAATTGTTACCAGAAAGGCCAAGTTGTTTTAACCGGGTGAGATTGGTAAAGGATACAAGCACGATTCCTTTAAGATTACAATCTGAAACATACAGCCTCTCGATGTTCGAAAATGAAGAAAAGATTACCTTTAGCAGGCCAATTTCATCATAAATGTCCCTGTTATCAATATTTCCATCGTTGCAAGTGAAAAGATACCAAGTACGATAACAATTGATGTCTATCTTAACTATACTTCCATTGTCGCAAGTGAATTGATTCCAGCCATTATAACATTGTTGAATATGAGCAGAACACCGGGATGCTAAAATGAAAGAAAGCGTAATCGGCATGGTTAACTTGTACACGGGAATGCTAATTTTGGAGGAGGTGTTCCACATTGTTTGATGATGTGATGAGTAAGGACAACTTATAACCTCATTTTATGCATATTGAGACCGTAGAATTTTAGAGTCAATGTAGAAAGGGAGACCTGAAGTCAATAGGTACTTGTTTTGTTTTATTTCTTTGTAACCCCTCACATTGGTTGTGTTTCTTCCAACAGTTTGGACCACAATATTTATTCTCTTCAATTATTTCATAAACCATGTATGTGTTTTTATTGCAAACTCGACATTCTTTTAAAGAAGTGTTTCTTTCTAAGAATGAGTAATTTAGAAATATGACGTGAAATTGAAAAGTGGCCATTTTTAAGGTGGCTGCTTCAATTTGGACTTTGGAGGGTGTAAGGAGTGTTTGATTGCCGATGATATTTTTCTGACTAAAGTTGGGATTGAATGCGGCGTCGGTATGTTCATCGAGGTATATTTTCCCTACCTCGAATTCTCCGATGACCTAATGTTGTTGAAATCTTTTGAATTTAAAGTTTAAAATTAAATTTTGTTCACTACTTTTCACAAAAGTTATAATCCAAAGTTGTAAACATGAAAGTATACCTCTTAATTTCTATGAAAAATATTCAATATTAGATTGGAAAATTATTTATTTATTTAGAGAAAATAATTTCAAGAATCAACATAATTTCTTGATCATTTAATATCTTGGAGCTCTGTGATTTGAATCATAGGTTCGGGAAATTTCTAGTATCTCAAGGCTAGGAAATTAGGAAAAGGTGAAATTTTTCAGCACACTTTCATGATATCGGTCTATGTATATGTTAACCACACTTCCGTGGTCACAAACAAAATCACCATAATAACAAGAATTTAATCCTTGAATATCTGTAGATAGGGCTGTAAACGAACTGAACCGTTCGTGAACTGTTCGGCGGGAAGTTTGTTTATGTTCGTTTATTTAATAAATGAAAGAACATGAACACAAATTCTCGTTCGTTTAGTTAAATGAACGAACATGAACAATGGTCTCGTTCGTTTATTTACGTTCGTTTATGTTGTTCGTTTACGTTCGTTTGTTTAAGTTTTTTTATGTTCATATATGCTCAATTTTTTTTATTACATTACAATATTATAGTTCATTTATGTTTAAATATGTTTAAATGTGTTTGTTTATCTTTGTTCGTTTATGTTCGTTCGTTTATGTTCGTTTAACATGTTCACGAACATAAACGAACGAACATGAACAAGACGATTTGTTAAACGAACGGACATGAACAAGAAAAGTCTGTTCGTTTATCCGTTCGTGTTCGTTCGTTTGTTCGGCTAACTTAAACGAACAAACATGAACAAGCCTTTGTTCGTGTTCGTTCGGTTCGTTCAGCCCTATCTAGGGCTGTAGGACACCGGGATGCTATCATGAAGGAAAGCATCATCAGTATGGTTAATGTGTGCACAGGAATGTTAATTTTGGAGGAGGTGTTCTGCATTGTTTGATAATGTGGCTATTAAGGATAAGTGCTAACTTCATGTTATGCATATGGAGACCGTAGACTTTTAGAGTCAATGCAGAAGAGGAGACCTGAAGTCAATTGGTCCTTGTTTTGTTATATTTTTCTAACCACTCGTATAGGTTGTGTTTCTTCTCACGGTTAGGACCACAATATTTATTCTCTCTTCAATTATTTCATAAACCATGCATGTAGTTTTTATTGCAAACTCAACATTCTTTTTAATGAAATGTTTCTTTCTAAGAATTAATGATTAAGAAACATGACGTGAAATTGAAAGGGAAACTTGTACGTAAACTAATGTATTATCAAGTATGTCAACTTTTAGATTCAAGTTCATTGTTCAACACATGTTTAATGTGCAATTATCTTAATATAAAAAGAAATGTTCTACTTAGCAGTTTCAACATGGCGACACCAAAACCATAAGTTTAGTGTTTACCTATCAAACGTTTCATTAAAGGACAAAAATTATGCATATCCAATTGCAAAATTACAAAAAATGGTCACACTTGTTTAACAAAATCATATAAACAGTCCCTGAAATAACAGAAATAGTATCTATATATTAATTTACCAACATAGTCCCTAGTTTGACAGAAATTGGAAAAATAAACCACATATAAGATATTATTGTAAATTTTTTTTCAAAACTATATAATTAATAAACCCCCACCGCACAAAAGGACAAGGTTCACATTAATCGGTAGCCCAACTCCCTGTCGTCCCTAATCTGTCTTTACCATCACGCGAAATGTCCTTGACTGTCCACTACAATCGCAGCCTTTTAACTCCTTCATTCTCGCCAGCAGTAAGCTATCCTCTTCTAATTTCTTTCAACCCTCGCCCGGAGTTGTTTATTTCTAGAATTTAATTGGCAGATCATATATGAAGTTCACTCGTTGTTTTAGGGTTTACTTAATTGAATTGCATTCGCTCTTTAGTATTTATTAATATGAGGTCTTGACGCCCTCTTCAAATCAGGACTATGCAATCTAAAATTTCTGATGTTATTATCTTAAAATTGATTATTTCCTATGTTATTTGCATGCCAATGGGCTATTTGATAGCTGCTGATTGAGTTAAGGTGCAATGAATCTAATCGAGTAAGAGGCATTTAAGGGTCATAACGAGTCATAGACTTCTAAACATGATATCAAATAGTCTGAATCTCAGCGAGTCTGATCAAACCTTTTACTAGACATAGTAAGACGCATATCAAACAATCCCAAAGTTCATTGAGTATTACAGTACGAGCTCATACCTAAACTGGTTCTTGTTTGTCAATATTGTATGATTTTCATTATAAACCTCTTAATCTTTATAGTTGCAAACCTTTTGTAACAAATAATGCTGGTAAAATAGTAGTCTTGATAGACGTGTAAATAACTCTATCCATGATTTCGCATTAGAGTGTATTCTGGTCGGCATAATCACCTTTTTCTTGAAAAGTTCTTCAATGTATGTTTCTAATAATGTATCATTTTGCTATTATCATCTCAAAGGTATTATAGTGAAAGGATCTTTGGCAATCAAGGGTTCTCCATTTTACTTTAGAGTTTGAATTAATTGGCTCATCTTAGACATCAAGTTCAGATAGTGATTATTGCATTCACCATTGAGTAATCTAAGATATCGTCATGCTCTATCTATCATTTTACTGGTTGCTATTTTCTGTATTATCTTTGTAATGAATACCTGATATGACGGGCCTGTGTTACATCATCAAGATTTTAATATTCTGATATTTTTCATTTGGCATTTAGGCAAAAACAATACATACCAATGTCACAATTGTAAGTATGTTAGTACTGGTATCGTAATTTCACTAAAAATTATTATATATTTTTTAATGTGAGGATCTGTTTGCCTATGCAAGCCAACAAGTCCAAAAGATAAAAGTGTGTTCAGTTATCGCAAACAACTTGTCATTGGGTCATAATTCAAAATAATATCAAATAATGAGGGATCATATTCAGTGACGGAGCTTGAAGTTATGATTTTTTTTGGGGGGGGGGGGGGGGGCTGGGGAATAGAATATGTATAAAAATTGGATAACAGGAGGGCCATAGTCAAATTTTATAGTTTTAGGCCTATGTAAATTTTTTAATAGTTATTGGCTAATTATATATAAAAAAAATGGAGAGGGGGGGAGGGGGGGCACAGCCCCCCATATTCGGTGTTGCCATTAATAAAAAAAAAGGATACATTTTGAACTAAGATTTGGAAAGCGGATAATGAACACGAAAGGGTGATAGATTTGGGACCCTCATTCATATGATATCTAATATGCCATACATTGCAACATTAATTTGTAGAATGTTATATTGAAGATTTAACGTTTGATTTATACATTAAGGATGCCACAGAAGAGGTCCGGTGTTCTTTGGCTTTACACCAAGTTTTGTATCTCATATCAATTGCACAAGAATGCACATCATGTTGATTTATTATGTATATGAGAACTAGTTTTGAATAATAAAAAAAATAAGACCACATAAACAGGTCTCATATAAAAACAAACTTGAAAGAAACCGAAACAAAGATATGGTCATCAAGTACAAATGGTGACTCATCACTTGGATAATTCCTGAGAGACGTTTCTCATTGTCGGACGAGACTTTGGGTCCATGCGAATGCATGCTAGTGCAACATTATAAACATGGAGTATTTCCATTTCAATCCGTCTGTCATCAGTTGGATAAGGGAGTCGCTTGTCAAGTATACTTTCCAAAGTTGCACCTTCCCGGTTAGAATAGTTGAGAGACGTTAGGAGGTCTCCAGGATGCTTCCCTCCAATTGTTTCAAGTGCAAGGACTCCAAAGCTATACACATCACATTTTTCGTTCACAATGCTGTTGTATGCAAGTTCTACATGTTTATACCAAAGGATTGTTTAGTGTAATTTCATCTACTAAAAAAGCTAAAGGAATCATTAGAATCTACACATACATACCTGGAGCAATGTATCCCAAAGTTCCTACGACAACGGTTTGGTCGGAGGAATCAGGGTCGAGCAATTTGGCTGCTCCAAAGTCGGCAACAAATCCTTCCATTTCTTTGTTCAAGAGAATGTTGTTGCTTGATATGTCTCGATGAATGATGGATGGGCTGCAGTCATGATGCATGTACGACAAAGCATGGGCTACCTGTTTGATAATGTTCACCCTCGTCTTCCAATCCAACATGACAGCGAATTCGTTGTCACTCAATGCGCAAAATATGCTTCCTTTTTCCATGTATTCATATACAAGGAAGTTGCAATTATTATGCAAACAAAAACCATAGAGTTTCACAATGTTTTTGTGCCTTAGGTTGGTTAAGACTTGGATCTCGTTCTTGAAACTCTTGTCAAATGCTGGTTGCTTGGCTTCAAACCGATGGAGTTTCTTCAAAGCAAACGTTTTACCGTTTGGCAGTTTCGCTTCATAAACACTTCCATAACCACCGGTTCCAATGCAATATTTGAGGTCAAAGTCCTCTGTTGCCTTGACGAAGTCTTCGAATGCAAGTGTCCCATTGTAATTCAATATCGAGCACACATCTCCATGTATTTGTAGTTCTTGTTGACTTTTCTCTGTGGTAGCCTTTTTATAACGGTAAAGCACATAACCAATCACTAAGAAACAAAATCCAACAATCATTGGAAGAAGAATCTCCAAAAGGAGGATGGATTTGTGTTCTTTGGAGGTGTTGCATATAAAGCCACTTTTGGTACAATATCCCCAACAATGCCCAGAAACTTTTAGGCTATAGTACTCCAACCCTAAGAAATTCGAACAATTAACTGCTTCTCCAACAAAAATATTATCACTAAGGTCCATATACTTTAAATGGTAGCAATTAGTTAATCCGTTGTAACCAGTCAGGAAATTATCAGAGAGGTCTAGATACTGTAATATATTGACATACCGAAAGGATACATTCCCAGACAAACGGTTTGATGAAAAATCAAGGTAAGTGAGTCTTGACAAGTTTCTAAATTCAAGGTGAATCGCTCCAGAAAGATGGTTATGATTAAGGTTGAGTTGTTCTAGGTGCTTCAGATACTCTATATGTGGAGGAATTGGGCCACTGATGTTATTCATACTAAGGTTCAATGTTTCTAGCATTTGCAGATTACAAAGTTCCTGTGGAATTGGCCCTCTTAGTTGATTTATGCTCAAGTCTAGGAATTTGAGATTGATCATGGAACCAAAAGATGGAGGGATTTGACTGGTTAACCGATTTCTGCTAAGATCCAGAAATTCTAAATTTTTTAGACTCCCCAACTGAGATGGCAGGGTACCAATGAAACTGTTACCAGAAAGGTCAAGGTGCTCTAATTGGGCTAGATTGACCATGTAATCAAAAGATTGAAGGATTGGACCGGTCAACTGATTGTAGCTAAGATCCAAGAACTTCAAGTTCTTGAGACTCCACAACTGAGATGGGAGGTTTCCCCTGAGATTGTTATCTGAAAGGTCAAGGTATTCTAATCGGGTGAGATTGGTAAAGGATACATGCAAGGTACCTATGTGATAATTTCGCTTAACAGAAACATAGGTTAGATTTTGCATCAAGCCAATCTGGTCTAGGATGTTTCCTTTAAGATTACTATCTGAAACATACAGCCTCTCAACACTCGAAAATGAGGAAAACATTACCTTTTTCAGGTCACTTTCGTCACAGTAACCGATGTCTATCTCAACTACAAGTCCGTTGTTGCAAGCGAAATAATCCCAACCATTATGACATTGTTGAACATGATCAGTAGGACACCGGGATGCTAACATGAAAGAAAGCATCATCGGCATGGTTAACGTGTGCACGAGAATGCAAATTTTGGAGGATGTGCTCCTCATTTGTTTGATGATGTGATGAGTAAGCACATCTTATAATCTCTTTTTATGCATATCGAGACTATATAATTTTAGAGTCAATTTAGAAGAGGAGACCCGAAGTCAATACTTGCTTTGTTATATTTTTTCTAACCCCTCGTATGGTTCGTGTTTCTTTTGACAGTTAGGACCACAATAATTATTCTCTTCAATTTCATAAATCATGTATGTAGTTTTTATTGCATACTCTGGAAATCTTTTTAAAGAAATGTTTCTTAGAATGAGTGATTTAGAAATACGACTGTGAAATTGAAAGTGAAACTCGTATATAAACTCATAAAAATAATAACATATAAACATTAATTTTTTACATGTCTCTTCACAATTCACATCGAATGTATTTAAGAATTTCCTATCAAATTTCCATCTCCCTTTTATATCTTCTTACAAATTTTGATTTCCGACAATTTCGGGACAGATTTAAGAAAACGTGCCTATTTATGTAAATCGTCCCTGAAACTGTGAGTGTGAACCTGACACCAGTAGCTGCACCTCCGTCTATGTTGACAATAAGAACTCAAATGACAGCTTCTTCATTTCACATGATGAACACATTAAATGGTAATAGTAGTTACGGTAGACTAGCTTAACTATAAATAAGAGCTCTAACTTCAGTTGTAGAGAACCACAAAAAACAGAGAGTGACAAAGTGAGTATTTGTAATAGAGGGTTGTTTTTCTTTTCTTGTAATTGAGCTAGTAAGCTCCTCCTTTTGTTCTAGTTCTGAATAAAAGTGTGTTTCAACCCCAACAAGTGGTATCAGAGCTTGGTTAAGCTCCGGGGGAGCATTCTCTGGTTTTTGGTCGAAATTTTTTTGTCTCAAAAACAATTTCAGAGTACACAGTTGGAAAGGTCTCGTTCCGAGGATTTCGAAAATATATTTTTTTGAATTTTTTGACCACCGGAAGGCCTCCAAATCACCGGTCAAAGTTGGTCAAACCTGCCGGAAAAGTCGCCGGAAAAACTAGTTAGCCGGAGGTTCTGCCTGAGAAGAAGGGTGACGTCATCAGTGACGTCAGCAGGTACTGTAGCGGCACTGTAGCAGTGACGTCAGCAGCTGACCAAAGTTCTGGAAATTGCAGTTTAGCCCCTGTTCTTCCGGAAAGTGCAATTTAGCCCCTGTTTTTCAGAAACATTGGAATCTTGGTCCCTTTTTTCAGAAACATTTCATTTTAGCCCCTGTTTTACTTCTGTAAAAGTTCTGTTTGCCCCTGAACTTTTGAAAAGTTCATATTGATCCCCGTACTTCAAAAAAAAAAAATCTTACTCGTGTATGCCCAAGTATATGCCAAAAATGACTACACCTACCTCGTCATCTTCTCAAGCCGAAGTTGAAAGTTTTCAAAGGACCGGGAAAGATGGTAGCGTTACGTTACACTATCCAATGCTCACGAAGATGAACTACGCGGCGTGGGCCATAAAAATGCGAGTGAATTTACAAGCACAAGGAGTATGAGATGTAATTAAAAATGCAGAAACGGACGAACGTAAAGATCGGATGGCTCTTGCGGCTATTTATCAAGCAATTCTAGAGGACGTACGTCTGATGTTAGCTAAGAAGGACACAGCTAAAGAAGCATGGGAAACGCTTAAGATGATGCACATGGGAGCCGATCGGGTCAAGGAGGCTAAAGCTCAAACCTTGAGAAGTGACTTCGAGGTGATCCGGATGAAAGACAGTGAATCGGTAGATGATTTTTCCATGAGATTGAATACTATCGTAACCGGTATTCGATCTCTAGGTGAAAAGATTGAAGAAATTACGGTTGTGAAGAAGTTTTTGCGAGCCGTGCCGATACGATTTATACAAATCGTAACATCTATCGAGCAATTCGGAGATTTGAAGAATATGACGGTGGAAGAAGTTGTGGGTCGTCTTAAGACCCATGAAGAGAGACTTCGAAGCTATGGAGAAAAAGAAGGAGGACCTTCTCTATTGCTTACACATGCCGAGTGGGCATCTCGTTCGAAGCAAACTAGCTAGAGAAACTCGTCAAACACTTCAAGAGGAAGAGGAGGACATGGTAACCGAGGCCGGGGACGAGGCCGAGGTCGTGGACGTGGCCAAGGAGGTGGTCGCGAGTACAATACAAATCGGAATGACCATAATCCTTCTCGAAAGGATAAAAGTAAAATCAAATGTTTTACTTGTGAACAATTTGGTCATTATGCTTCGGAGTGTCCAAAAAAGAATCGAGGAGAGGAGGCGAACCTCACTCAAGCCAACGAAGAAGAGCCTATTTTGATGATGGCAACCTCACAAGAATATGCACACAAAAAGGTGTCTCTAAGAGAGAAGATTTGTGTTAATCTTCTTGCATCAGGAGAAAGTCGAGTCGAGTCCGAGGTATGGTATCTCGACAACGGTGCTAGCAATCACATGACTGGAGACCGCTCAAAGTTTCGCGAACTAGATGAGCACGTTACGGGTCACGTGAAATTTGGGGATGGTTCGACCGTCGCTATTTTGGAAAAGGGTCGATTTTATTTGATAGCAAAAATGGCGACCAAAGACTCCTTAATGAGGTATATTTCATTCCAAGTCTAAAAAACAATATTATTAGTCTTGGACAAATGACGGAGGAAGGGAGTCGGGTCATAATGGATGGGTCGGATCTGACATTGTTTGACAGAAACAAAACTCTACTTTTGAGAGTTAAACGATCCCCAAACCGGTTATATAAAACTCCTTTAAGGACCGGTAGACCGACTTGTCTTTTAGCAACAAAAGACGAACCAGCTTGGATATGGCATTCTAGACTCGGTCATGTTAACTTTCTCGCCTTAAAGAAGTTGTCCAAAAAGAATATGGCAATCGGAGTCCCAAAGATTGAGCACCCAAACCAAGTATATGAAAGGTGCGTTCTTTCCAAACAAACCCGAATTCCATTCCCGTATCATGCAGTTTTTCGGGCTCAAAAACCTCTACAACTTGTTCATGCGGACTTATGTGGTCCGATCACACCTACATCTATTGGAGGGAGTAAATATTTTCTCCTTTTAGTAGACGATTTTAACCGGTGGATGTGGGTTTACATGCTATCGGAGAAGTCTCAAGCCTTGAGTGCTTTCAAACGATTCAAGTTGATGGTTGAAAAGAATTCGGGTTATCAAATAAAGACACTTCGAATGGACCGAGGTGGAGAGTTCACTTCAAAAGAATTCTCATTATTTTGTGAAGAAAATGGTATTCAAAGGCATCTTACGACACCATATTCGCCTCAACAGAACGGAGTTGTAGAAAGGCGAAATTGGACCGTTATGGACATGGCAAGAAGTCTGCTCAAAGGTAGAAATGTTCCGGGAGAGTTTTGGGGAGAAGCGGTTAGACATGCAGTTTATCTTCTCAACCGCCTGCCAACAAAAGCACTTCCCGACAAGACGCCTTATGAAACATGGTTTGGCAAAAAGCCCAACCTTGAACATCTAAAAGTTTTTGGTTGTGTTGCTTTTGCTAAACTTGTAGGTGGTCACTTGAAGAAGCTTGATGATCGAAGTAAAAAGATGGTGTATTTAGGTGTGGAAGATGGAACTAAAGGCAACCGTTTGTTTGATCCGCAAGACCGAAAGGTGTGAGTTAGTCGCGATGTTGTTTTTGACGAAAAAGAAGAATGAAATTGGTACAAAAACAAAGAAGAAGAGATTGCGACTCCTAAGACCTTTACCATAATTGAACCACAACCCCATATACACCTCGAAACACCTCAAAATAACCCCGAAATCAACCCGGAACAACCAAACAGTCCAGGAATCCATGCTATCCAAGTTGGACAACCATATGCTGAATTTGACGAGCCTGAACCAGCTCCACAAACTCCTGTCTCAACCCCGTTTTCTTCAACCACGCCCCATATGGAAAGCCCTTCTAGTGAGATTGGGCCAAGAGGATTGCGTCCGTTAACCGATATTTATTCTGAAACCGAAAATGTGTTCCTTGAACCCGGAGAATTGTTGATGATTGCAGCGGATCAATCCTTGAATTTTAAAGAGGCGGTAACCTCTAAGGCATGGCAGGAGGCTATGCAAACAGAGTTGGATGCAATCGAGAAGAACAAGACATGGCAACTTATCGATTTGCCACCCGGACACAAAGCAATCGGTTTGAAATGGGTGTTTAAAGTGAAGAAAGACAACTTGGGAAAAGTGGTGAAGCATAAAGTGCGACTTGTAGCTAAAGGATTTGTACAAAAGGAAGGAGTCGACTTTGATGAAGTTTTTGCACCGGTAGCACGACTTGACGCCGTAAGGCTCATTCTTGCCCTAGCAGCTCAACATGGGTGGGTTGTCCACCATCTCGATGTCAAGTCGGTTTTTCTCAATGGAGATCTCAAAGAGGAGGTTTATGTCACCCAACCAGAAGGATATGTTGATAAAGAAAACAGTCACAAGGTGTTCAAGCTTTATAAAACTCTTTATGGTCTACGACAAGCTCCTCGAGCTTGGAACATTCGTTTGGATAAAAGCTTAAAAAGGCTTGGTTTTACAAAAAGTTCACAAGACCCAGCTGTTTACAAAAGGAACTCAAAAGACAAAATTCTTATTGTTGGTGTCTATGTTGATGACTTGATCATTACCGGGTCGAACACTAACAACGTTGTCGAATTCAAAGAACAAATGAAGAAAGAATTCGAAATGGGTGACTTGGGATTACTTTCTTACTACCTTGGAATCAAAGTTTCGCAAAAGAAGTGGGGAATATCTTTGCGAAAAACGGCTTATGCAAAGAAGATTTTAGAGCAATTTGGGTTGCTGGATTGCAATCCGACAACGTCACCAATGGAACCTAAGTTGAAGGTCAAGAAGGATGAAGATGGTGAAAAAGTTGATCCAACTGAATATAGGAGAGTGGTAGGTTGTTTAAGGTACTTGACTCACACTCGACCGGACTTGTCATTTTCGGTTGGAATTGCAAGTCATTTCATGGAGGAACCGACCACTTTGCATTTCCAAATTGTGAAACACAT